AGCCGGAGATAGGAGAATAGTGGGGGCTCCAGGGCCTTCACAGGTCTAACACAGTCAAGTGTTCCAAGGCTGAGGCAGCTCCAACTTTACTACGGTGGAACAGCTGGGGAACTTGCCTTGAAGTATTGTGAGTAAGAACAATTTTACTCACAGGTGAAGAACACTTAGGGGTAACTAAGGAGCTGAAAAACTTACAAAGGGCTAAGCCACCCCCATTGGGTTTGGCTGCCTCCAAAGCCACTATGGAGTGTTCAGGCCAAATTTATTTCCTGCAAGAAGAGTCCACTTCAGAAAAGCCAAGAACAGCCTGCATGCCATGACTTGGGTGTTTTTTTAAACTTGTTTTTGCTGTTGTTGTTTTGAGTTTTTTCTGTTTTGTTTTCTCAGGAGTGGAGGGGTGGGGGTGTTCATTTTGGCCTTGGTTCTGTGTGCCCCTGTATGCATATTTCAGGGCAGATTTTATTCCCTCATCTACTTTCTGTGCCTCCTAGACACCACCCTCCCCCACCCATGAGAAGAGATCCAGAGAACAAGAGATCTGTAGTTGGGACTGAAGAGCAGGCATTTCAATATGGATATGTATCCATTCTATCCATTCTAACTGCAATATCTTTTGTGAAAGTGAAGCTACTTAAGGCAATTTCCATAAGATCCGTCCTAGAAGAAAAGGTTCTGTGGGGACAAGGTGAGAAAGCTGTTAACTATTGTCTGGCCCTGAAAAGGTCGTAAGTCAGAGCCTCAGTAGCTGACCTGTCAGGGGAAGGTATAAAGGCTTTATTCATGCAGTTGCTGCAATGTTCTCAGCTCTCACAAAAGTGTTTTTATGATTCGATTTTCTTACCTCTTTTCTTAATTAAAAAGCTGAACCGTTAGAATAGCACCTGCATCGGTCCTGACAGTGCCTGCATACTAATTCCAGAGTCTTTACAGCTTGTAATTATAACATAAAATCAGAGATTGAATAAAACAGAAGGATTTTGCTCCCAAAGCCCTGCTAATCCCCTTTTAAAAGGGTCTGGTGAAATAATTCACAACAGTTTCCGGAAGTTGGATTACCACTCCTGGTTTTTTGTTTTTTTTTTTTTTTACTTTTTACAATGAAATGATATTTCACATTTTTAAAAAGGCTGTTTTTCTACAACAGGTTTTTATTTTTTTATTTTTTTATAAAAGAAAGTTTTCCAGCCTTGGGGGCAATAGAAAACATTTCACTATAAATTTTTTACTAAATGCAGTGGCAGGAAATGTAGGGAAAAATTTGTGGTATGTTTGAAACTATTTTCTCAGGTGAAAGTGGCTAAAGTGTGATGAGGAACTGCTTATGTGCATCAGGCAACTCAATTCTCTCAGAGGAAATAAATAAGCAAATATTTTGGGGGCAGATGCCTATTTTTAATAGCTTAGAAATATGAACATTTCAGGAAAAATGTTTTTCACCAAGATGCTGGGTGTACTCTTTAGAGGATTAATGAATACATTAATCAGTTCAAAAGCTAGAGGCCTCTGTTAAACCCTAAATAAGACCTTGCAATGACACAAAGCAAGGACCTTGAGGTGTCTGCAGTTTCTCCTTAGTTTTGGCAAAGAATACTATTCTCATGTGGCTAATCTGGTCTTGCATGGGCTAGCCTTCAGTCATAGACAAGGGAAAACTAAATCATCCTTCTGATAGCCTATATACATCATCTAATGTTATTGGTGGATTATTTTTTCTTATTTTTGCAATTCTACAACTACATGTCACAGCTATAATGATAGATAATTCTCTAATTTTGCTTTATTCTCTCTGCAGACATTTCCCAAGGCTGTTCTGATTCAAGATCATGTACAGCCTTGCTCACCTTGTTTTGCCCTGCATTTTGGCTCATGTAGTCTACACTGGCTCTAAATGAGGGAAAAAGAGAAAAGAAGAAGGCAGGACAAGTTTCAAAGTGTATCCTCATGGTCACATTTACACTAGATGGACCTGTACCCATGCCCTAAGGTGTTTTTTTCGTTCTCTTCTTATCCACGCAGTTGCTTTGGACGTTTGCAAAGCCACTAGACAGTTTGGACAATTCAGGGACAAAACTCAAGACCTCCCCAAAGTGTCTACTGAATTTCTGTTTTTCCTGAAGGACTTTGGGTTCTGAGCCCCAAAACATTCCTAGGAAACTCCCGCTTGTTTTTCTCATTGGAGATATTTGGGTGAAAAGGCAAACCTATCCTGATTCGTAGAAATGAAGTTGGTAAAGTATGTAATTTGGGGATCTTCAGTCACTTGTCGATCAAGATATTATTAATTTTTCTGAAACGAGGATTTAGTAAGAAAAAAGTCATGATTGTGAAAAAGGTCCCGATGCCTTCTTGGGAAAAAAGTACTTTTGTGTGACTTTTGCCCAAACACCCTGTCCTCAGACCCTTAGCTGCCTGTCCTCTCTCTCAACTCACATTTTCCCACCTTACACACCCAAGACTTGAAAAACTCAAACCGCACAGGCTTATGATAAGATAAATTGACGCAAGGCAGACTGAACCATTGTGTCTACTGCAATGCCAGTCTTAACAAGTCATAGAGGTGACATAAAGGCAATTGGTTTCTTCAGCTTTGTTCCTCTCCAAAATAAACTCAATTCTTTCTAACTTTTCTTGTATCTTTAAAAACTAATTTACATTTTTGCCTCAGTGCCTGGGTGCCCTGGGCTCTGGAACTCTCAGAGAATAAACTTCTCAGAGAGTTGATCTCAGAAAACAAAGTGACATCGGGGCTTTCAGTTATCCTTCCGACTGCCTGAAGGAGGTGCACACTGCTATGGAGTTTAGGGTCCCTGAGGGCGCCACCATTTCTGCTAGGGACCGAAAATATTCACCTGATTCAATGAGGAGCTAGGGGAATGTTTCTGAAAGACAGAATCCCAAGATAAGTAATAGCAATAACAACTAGCACTAGCAAGTACATTCTAAATGTTTAAAGGATTATCTCATTTAACACTCAAAACAAGCTTGCAAAGGAGGTTCATTTTAATTTCATTTTACAAATGAAGGAACTAAAGCACAGAGAGGTTTCATCATTTTTCCAGGGGCACAGGGCCAGTAGGTGGACAAGTGGGCAGACTGCCTCCTCTTATCCAAGATCTTTTCACCAGGCCAGCAGTTTCTACCTGGTGCTCTAATGAGGAATAGCGAAGAAGAGAGCAGGATGAGGTGGAGGGATCATTAGATGACTAAAGCGCACTCAAGCTTCTCTGAGCATTGTCAGTTCAGGGTGGGAGGTGGGTAACTTCCCCAGAGAGCAAGTGAGATAATTCTAGGGTGAGGCTAGCCAAGGGCACTTGGGGACCAGTAAATTCAACCCTCTGTCAAAGGTTACACTATTCAACTCTGCCAAACAATAACGACTCAAAGGAAATCTCGGCTCTCCTAGTGGCTGGGGCACTGAGGTGTCTACGAGCACTTTCTCTTTCCTCTTCTACTGCCTCACAGTTCGAACTTGGAAGTTTTGAAGACAGGCCTTTCTTTCTCCAAAACCCTTTCACGGAATGTCAAGGACAGCGGAGCCTCCTGGGCACCCTGTCTTTTCTCTGCATTCTAGGGAATGATTCGGACCTCAATTCCTGAGTGCCCTCTCATGCAAGGCTTTCCTGGGAGGAATGGGAAGGTGTGGGTAGAAGGGCTGGGATCCTCTCTGGAGCCATGGGCAGGAACAGCTGTGAAGACTCCAGGCAGCAGGATTGAGCAGAGAGCTCCGAGCCCCAGAAAAGCCTTGACTGGAAGTCCCGAGTTCATTCCTAATCCCCACTTGCTCCTCACCACAATACTCAGTCGGTTAAAGGGCTTTAATGAGTGCTCTTTCTCAAAGAGGCCGGGTTGAGGAGAGGCCCCTCTAATCCGTCCCTGAGACGGAGGAAGGGGGCCCTTCCGCGAAAGGAACGGGAGGGGGCGCTAACTCCAGTGTTAACGCCCATGGACCTCCTTTCTCAGGGATCCCATTGACTTGGACACGTCTTGGTTTCCCCTCGTGTCCGCCTTTATCACACCCGTGCGTCTCTCTCGCACCTTTGCGCGCTGGGGTCCTTTCTCCCAATGTTTTACCCAGGACTGCAGCCCTTGCCCTACGAATTGAGTCTACAGGTGTTCTCTAAGGAGACCCAGCATTCCCACCCTAGGAGTCGTTGTCTTCCCACTCCATCCAGCCCCTTGCCCCAACCAAGCCCACGGGAACCAACTTCTCAGGAGTTAAAAAAGTGTCAGGCGAAAGCCTCCTGAGCGGTAGGTGCAGGGGCAACAAGGTATGCGGGTATCTAGAGGTCTAGTGGCCACACAGTGGAGGAAGGAAAATGGTTCTGGTGATTCATTTGAAATAAGTTTCCCAGTGGCTGGGCCAGGTAACAGTGGCATGTATCAGATGCTGAAACTCACCAGATATCTCAATCGCGGCCCAGGAAAGTGTCATGTGGGCTGTAGCCCCCCAGTCTTCAGGCATAGAGACCTTCGCAGGTATCTGAAGGGAGCCTTGAGGTCTGAGCAATCACTTCTCCCAGATGGGGCAGAGTCCAACTAGGAAGATCTCTGTGGGCAACTGTGCCTGAGACACTCCACCAGCGCTTAGTCAGGTCTTAGAGCCGAACTGTCCTGTCTTTTTCTTTCCTTGTTTTCATTCCCACCAGCTATTGGACATTTCTCTGGGAATTCAGACGTGGTTTATTAGATGTTGCTCTGAGCTAGAAATGCAGAAAGGTAGCCTTTCCTGGCAGACACTGAGAGCATCCTTCCAACATTTTCCATTCTATAATGTATTAATAAATTGGTTGATGATGTCAGTGTCATTAGGGTGAAATTGGGATGAGAGAAGTCTTTCTCATAATGGCTTCTTTAGGGAGTCCCTCCTTTTTGCTGTCCTGAGACTAGGCCCCCAGAGATATTTGTGTGAATCAGTGAAAAAAGACTGAGGAGAGAATTAGAGGCTTCTGGAGGGCCTCAAATCTCTCCCAAGATGAAGAAACAATAACAGGACACCAGGATTCAAAAGAGGAAGGGAAACATCACATCATTTATTTCCAAAGAAAATAGCCAAATGGAGTGCCATGTACACAAAGGCCTTTGGAGGGAAAAGGAATCACAGATTTAATATCATTTACATTTACATATTTACAAGATCAAGCCATGGCTTTCAACTTTGTTGTTCATTCAACAATCACTTTCAGTCAAACAACTTTTTATTTTCAAGTTAGTTCATAATTTAACTGACACTAAGGAGACAGATGATAAATCACAAACAGTGTGGGTAGAGAGGGTACAAACAGTCTAAGGTTTCAGCCAGGCTTTTGTGTATATGTGAATTATGATTACAAAATGTTTGCCTGTCTGTATAATTCACATTCATTGCGATTATTACATTTTCTCATAAATTAGCAATATAAACAAACATATGGAGACCTCCAGTTAACAAATAAAATCAATATCAGAAACAACATTTTGCAGCAACTATAATAACAGCATGGGTTACAGCTCGGAAAACTTTACAAGTCATTTATTCAGCACACACAGTGTAGCGGGACCAGCACATCCTTATTTATTTAAACCACCTTTAAAACCACAACAGGAGTTTTGGGGAAACCTGAACTGGGTGAAAGTTTCTTTCTTGGGCACAATATAAAATGAACAACTGCACATGTGAATGAGGGGAAGGATGGGCATTTGCATGCATTTTCGATCACTAGGTTGTAGACCAAATCTTCTAAGCTTCAACTGCCAAGATTCTGAAGGAAACAGGAAATTAATAAAACATCTCTCTCCTTCAGCTATTCTCCTTCTTATTAATGGCAGAAAGGGCTTGTTGATTGCTGCTAGTGAGAAGAAATACACAATGGGTCTATTTTTAGCAGAGGTGGCTTTGAAGGAGCAGGAGATATTAACAATTGCTTGGCTGCAATCTTAAGTTCCAAGGATCCTGGGCAAGAATATTAGCAGCTTGAGGGGTACCCAAAGGAACCCATCCAGGTGAACCAACTTGGGCTGACTGAGTGCAAGTCAGAGCAGAAGAAAGCAGACATACAATTATGGACTTAGGGTATGTATTCTGCTTGGACCCCCTCTGCATACTTTTCCTCATGTCCCAAAGCTTGTCCCGAGGGTCCCCCAACTTCTGCATACTTCACCAGGTCAGGCCCTGACCCTGATGTCTAGGCATTGCTTTTGTTTATCCCTTAGCAAGACTTAGTCCTAAAGTTATGTATTGGTGCAGTGTGTGGATATTTTTTTAAAAGAAGTTTGATTTTTATCTCTTTAGAAACGGTTTGAAACTAACGGGGCAGAGGGAGTTTGACAGAGAGGAGAACAAATCGCTGACAAAGAACCTTTTACGTTTCATCGGCGTTGTTAGGACGACAAGCAGGAATGTCTCAGATAATAACTCCCACTTCAAAGATTTCTCAGCTCAATAGAAAGCGGACCATCCTTTTTATTCAACCACAAGGACTGGCACTAAAGAAGACTCCACTGTTTGATTTTTTTTTTTCACTGTGTTTATTTTTCCCCTATTCACTGGGGTACTTGGATAAAATAAACAACAAGACAATTAAGGGAACATGGACTTCTAACTTTCCTGCCATCTTCCCCATATCCCCTTGGCCTTGGGCTCTTGAGTTTGCATCTAGGACAAGTCCAGGCCTAAGGTACCACACACCCTGCCTTAGAAAGAAACAAGTTTGAGGGGCCACAAGAGACTTATGGGATGGAGAGGAAGAAGAGTGGTAAGGAAAGCCAGAGTGGAAATGTCCCAAGGGCACAGACTGAACTCCTCAGACTCCCCCAGGGTGGCTCCCTTCCCCACAAGTCCCCATTAAACTTAAGCCTCCATCCTACTCAAGAGTCAGAAAGGCGATTTGCACAAAATTGAGTTTGGAATGCTCATTTGTTAAGCTTCGGAGGCTGCTTTAAAATCTTTCACTCCTGATCCTGGAGCTCTTTGGTGCGCAGTCAAGATGCACAGAGTCCTTGTGCTCCTCCCTTTCCTGAAAGTGTCCCCTGCTCCAAAGCCTCCCACATCCGGGTGCAGGGTGAACCCCTAAACGCGGGCAAGTCGGGTTCTAGGAAGGAAGTATATACTGGAGAGCGCAGTGACAGTATTAAATGGCGTGAAAGCAAAGGTCAGCGCAAATGTATCTTAATAGAGTGTCTGTAGTGAAGTGTGCCGCCTTTGAAGCGGCCGCTCCCCGCGCGTATTTCCATGGCGAGCCTAACGCGGCATGCTGATGCACCGTCAAACTCACACTTTCAACCCCAAAACCCGACTCTTTGAACAACCCTAGCTTGATTAGACCTTTCTCCTTTTCTTTCCCCTCTTACAAACCATTTCCTCGCCTTTAGAAACTCGCCATCAAACCCAAATGCGCCCTCTGATCACCGCAGAAAGCAGAAACAAAGGGGGCTGAGCGGCGATTCAAGCGGCTCTTTTCTTCCTTCACATTATTATCCATTTTTATTATGATCGGGTACAAGTGCCCATTCGCGTGGGTTTTGTTTACCGGAAATTAAATGAAAATGATTTAGTCCGCGTCAAACAAAAATATATACTTGTATACACAAGAAAAAAGGTCTGTTAGACGTAAATATTATGTCCTTAATGAAAAGCCTGGACGGGCTCCAGGCTTGGCCTTTCAGGATTTCAGTGCGACTTGCCCATTGCCATAGAAATCCTAACTTACCATGAAGATGCACCGTGGCGAAGAAACACTGCTTTGTGCGCGGGCCCTTTGATGTAGCAGGCGCAAGATGCGGGGCGCTCAGCTGCGCGGAGCGAGATTACCTTGCGAGCAACGCGATGGACATCTGTAACAAGCAAATGAAAAATTAAAGGCGATTAGTGGCCGACCAAACATTTTTGTTTTGTTTCATTATTTTAGATTAGGATAGAAGGCAAAATGGGGGCGAGGGGCTTAGAAACAGAGGAGAAAGGAAAGAGTCCTACTTCAGGAAGGGGGACTTTTTAAACATAGGCAGAAGCAGTAAGTTCCGCAAATGCCCTCTGCACCTTAGTGGTGGGGTTGGCGTTTGACTATGGGAAAGAGTTGTTTGTTGCCGACTGCCCGCGCTGGGTCAGGCAGCCTCTGGGCCCTATTGTATTAGGGGGAGGCAGGAATTTCAGTCCCCCTTTCTCAAGGACGGATTCACTAAGGGTGTATTTGGAAGATGGCATTTTTTATTTGGAGTCAGGAAAATAGTTCCACTCCAGTTAGGACGTTATTTCATTTGATGAAAGTTGTGGGGACTGTGAGCAGGAGTGCTAATTGTCTAATGGTATCTGAAGAGGAGAGAGCAGAAGAAAATTTATTAGTGGCAGGGGCAGGACTTGTTTGTTGGGCTCAGATTTTAAAATTGAGCTCTTTTGTGGGGCCCTCCCCAAAGAGAAAACCCACCTCCCTCCCCAACACACACACTGATTTTCAAATTCTCAGGGAACTGGGATGAATCTGCCATAGCTTTACTATTTTATTTTCTTTTACTTCTTCTTCAAATCGTAGCTAGGATTTTGGGGCAGCCCTATTCTCCCTGCAGAGGAGGGGAAGGGAGGGAAACAGGACCTGAGTTTTTTCCCTTTGGCAACAATTGCAAAGGTCTTTCTCGCCCCCTCCTTCAACATCTGGTTCTTTTATTCTGCAGACTTCATACGCAGCATGTCAAATACACATTCTATCTAGACTCACTGGTTGTTTGCCTTTACAATATTTATTATTGTTGATCATTTCTCTAGTCTCTCCTACACTTTTTAAAAAATAAAACCAACATTGTGCAATTACTGACAAAGACCGTCACTGAATTGACGCGATTCACCCAGATACGGCCGCCTAGGTCAGGTCCCTCCACTTCAGAGGCCTCGACTCAGTGACGTCATCAGCTCGCTCTACACCCGGAGCCCAAGAACCTAGAAGACTTCACAGGCAACGCCTCTACAGTGGCTGGGGTGGGAAAAGGGCCCGGGGAGGCCTCACAGCATTGAATCCTGAAGCCTCTCTGGCGTTCCTTTGTCTGTATTTCTTGTTGTTTTGAATTGACTCGCCACCCCAAGTATACAATGTATATCGAGTCTGTGGACGACAGGCAGATATTTATCTGTGTGCCCAGGCCACTACATAGGGGTGGCAGCGTGTAACCACCACCCACACACCCCCTGCTGAAAAGACAATGAATCTCCCTTATCTCCTTTATAGAGGAGGTCGGAAAAATTAAGACTTGTGTATACTTTGTTTCAAAGGATACCTAGGGAAGGGGAAACCACAGGAAGGCAAAGAGGAAAGAAACTGGAGTCAAGAAAACGGCTCTGGAATTCCCTTTGCCGCCTTCTGTCGATCTGAACTTCTGAGGTTGGAATTAATGTGGCGGAGGGAAGTATTAGAGTGGGGGTGGGAGAGGCCCAGTTCTCGAGAAAAATATTTCCCATCTTGCGAAGCATGCGGGAAATTTGTGGCTTTACTTTTGTCATCTGAAGTGGCCAGGATTGCACCTAAATTCTCCATTTATTTTTTTCTATCTCCCTGTCTCTTTTCACCCCTAACACTGGCTTTATGATAATCATGAAGGCGCGTGTAGGGGTAATGGTGCTGAGTGTGACTATAGAATAAATAGGGGGACCATATTTATCTTTTAAAATAATGGACATTATATTAGCGTATTCAGTGAGCTCTAGCAACTATTACAGGTGGCCGGCCTGCCTTCCTTCCTTCCGCCCTCTCCCTCTTCATGCCTCAGAAACGTGGCCTACTCTGCATCCGGTGTGTGCGGAAGCAGCAACCACAGAGGCAGCCCTAATACCGGAGGCGGCGGCGGCAGCAGCAGGGCCAGGTGGTAGCTCTTGGCTGAGGATCGCGGCGGGGGCAGCCGCGGTGGGGCCCAAGCCCTGACACACATACCATTCGCTCAAGTCGGCACTACGCGCCGCCACCGCCGCCGAGGAGGCCACCTGGGACTCATGGCCGCAGTCTGACGAGGGCGACACGAGGGCAGACGGTGTAGCCGAATCGTAGCCAGAGCTGGGCGGCGGCGAGCGCCCGTGCACCTTCATGTGCTTACGCAGCGAGCTGGGGTGCGTGTAGCACTTGTCGCAGCCCCGCACCTTGCACGTGTATGGCTTGTCGCTAGTGTGCACGTGCGAATGCTTCTTGCGGTCGCTGCTGTTGGCGAAGCGCCGCTCACAGCCCTCGAACTCGCATCTGAAGGGCTTCTCGCCTGGCGGAGGTAACGCAGAGACATTAGTGCTCGCCACCCTCCCTCTCCCCCCAATTCGTCTCTCATTTTCTGGAAAAGAACTACAAAATATTTTCAGAAATCTCTTTCCAGGTGCTCAGGTCGAGCACCCCTTTCCCTCGTGCAGAGAGCGCCCCCGGTGCACTCTCCTGAGCGCCTCCATCCCTCCCGCCTTCCTGGTCTGGGCTCAGGGGGAGGGTAGGGAGGAGGAGCGACAGTGACTCCATCTTAGTCGAGTTTTCATCCTCGAAAATCCTGATCCACTCTGATTGTTTCCTCCAAATTTTCTCCACTTGGAACCAGAAGCACCTCTGTTTGGAAATACATTAACGGAGGAGCTCACAATATAGTTAACGGGGAAGCTCACATCTGCTCGATTTAAAGTTGCTGTTTCAGCCAAACGTCTCTGCCCCTACCCTGCCCAGCCGTTCATCGCCCCCCCACTCCCAACTCCCATCCTGGCCCAAATTGTTTACTAAAGTAGGTTTTGCGCAAACGCCAAAGCGATGAAATAATTTAAGGATGCGCAGCCGATGCACATGATGTGTGCATAAAGTGGATTCGTGCTGCAGGGAAAGGTATTCTGAGCAATGATTCACTTCAGAGGAGATTTTTACAGGATGTGGAGCCCCCTCCCTCTTCCCTTCTACCCCCCGAGGGCAAACAGTTAGCAGCATTCTTCAAATCTTGCCTAAACCGTCCGGGATCCCTCCAGATACGCTCGCCAGCAATAATATTTTATTACGCTGCTCCAGAGGCCTCCCGGAGACCTTGCTGTGGGCAGCTGGCCCTCCCAGTCCGAACTGACTTGGCGATGTCGACCAGTCTCCCTAGACCACCCCCACCTGGCTGTCGGGTCTCTCGGGCCTAAGACGAGGGGTTGGCGCAGTAGGGTCCGCACAGGCCGAGTGGGATCCGAGGTCTCTACCGCAACCACGCCCTTGAGCGCTGAGGCTTCGGGAAGAGAACAGCTGCAGCTGTCAGGGCAGGCCCGGCTCTGCAGACTGGAGGGCGACCGGGCGGCTGGGATAGGCCCGGGAGGGGCTGGGATCGGTGGCTGCGATGCCCTGTAGAGCCGAGGGAAGGCGCGAGTGCACGTTAGAGTGATAATATTGGCCGGACTGAGCCCCAATCGGGGAGCTCACGGCCACCTGAACTCGCTGACGTGTGGGAGAGGAAAGGATCCCGAGAATCCGGAAGCCTAGATTCCTGCCGGAGCTGCAAGTGTTGCGGAAATGGGGGAAGAAGGTTCCTGGGCGCTTTAAACAAATGGCTGCCTCCCAGCGTTCTGAGTTAAGGGACCGGCTACCTAGCGTCTAGCTGAGGAGGAAGACGCACAGTTGGAGAACTGCTGTCTTTGTAGTTGCTTCTCCCGCCGCATCCAGGAAAGACAGGCGCTTTCCTGGGGCTGGTTAGAACAAACAAAGCCCCAATTCCCGAGCCCTGTGGAGGCTCAGACAGAGAGGTTTGAGCACAATCCGCACTTCTGCGCAATCAGTGCCTCCTGAGCCCGGGTCTCCGGCACCACCCGGTTGCTGGATTCCCACCCTACAGGAGCACAGTTAGTACACTGAACCCTCTGGAAGGTGTTGGCACCTGCCATTTAGCGGAACACCGGCACCATTTTATGAAACAGTGAGAGAAAGATGCGGAATAAATCAGTGTTCCTATGTGCCCCTCGTTTTATCTCCTCTGATTCCTGCCAGCATTTGCAAACCCAAACTTTCTTCCTTCTCTTTCAAAAAAAAAAAAAAAAAAACCTTACAAAAAAACCCGTACAATTCAGGGCCTGCAAAAGAAACCAAGGTTAGTTTGAGAAAACAGAGGTGAAATGGAATTTGAGGTTGGTGCCCCTCCCCAACAACCCCTCCCCGCCCCCGCGCCACAAAAATCCCGCCAAACGCTTATCCGATCTCGTGAGCGCCTCGCTGGACATTCACGTAAAACAAAAACAATTATTTCGCTCCAGACGAGGAGCAGAGGAGAAAACAGCAGTGCAATGAGTGATACCGGCAGCCGGGAAGTTCGCAGGCCCCTTGGAGGCCAGGTGAGGCTGCGCCCCAGCTTGCTCCGGAGCTGCAGGAGGCGCCCTGGTCTCCGCGCTTGACATCACCCCCGCCCCCCGCCAACTCCCGGCCTCCAGTCCTTCCCCCTCCCTCCAGCTCCCTGCACCGCGCCCTGGGTGGGTGGGTGAATGTGAAGAGGCAGCGTTGGGCTAGGCCCCTGCAGCCCGCTCGGAGCGTCCTAGGCCTGGGGCTGAGCTGTGAGAGACCCAGATTGCCATCCCAGAGGCTCCGCAGCCCGGAAAGGCCTCCTCTCCGACCCTGCGCCGGGTCCGCGGGACAAAGTTCGGAAGCTCGGGACAGCTGGGCCAGCGCCATTTTCTCGCACTTGTGGCTGGATCTGGTTGTCCCGGCGACTGCGCCCCGGCGCGGTCTCTTCTCCTCTACCTCGGATCCCCAGCACCGACTCGCCCTCAGACGCCGGGGAAGGTGTGACGAGCTCCCGGCCCCGGCCGAGGGGTCCCAGGAGAGAAGCTGGGTGGCGGTGGCCAGGCAGACCGCGGTAGCTGGCCTCGCCTCCCTCCTCGAGGCACCATTGTTCCGGGATCGCTGTGACCGCCGCAAAGTGAATGCTTTCGGTGCGGACAGTCGCCTTCAAAGCCAGGCCCGGGATTCAGGTCAGGGAGAATCTCAACTCCTGAGAAATTTGCTCCTGTTTGCCACTTCCGCGACTCGAGGAAATGAAACGCCATTAATATTTGAAAAGGCAATTATTTTCCTGTTGAATCCAGAACTGTCTTCATGAATAATTTGTACTGAGGTCTATTGCCATTTGAGAAACATTTTCTCTCTCTCTCTCTCTCTCTCTCTCTCTCTATCTCACTCTCTCTCTCCTCTTTTTATTACTTAGGAGGCGGATTTGAGGGAAATGCCCGAGCAGGCCAGACTCTGTAGTTTGTTGTTGGTAGTGTGTGTTTTTGTTTGTTTGTTTGTTTTTGTTGTTCTCCCCACCCCCCCCACCCCCCACCGGGAATGAATCAGGGGAGCCGAAAGAACGCACAAAATTCTGTCCTGAAAAAACGAAAACCTGAGCCAGCCGCGGCGCACTGAACTTGCTTCTCTGCTGTAGGTCGACTGTGCTAAGAATTTAACCATTTTCTGCTTCACAGACTTCAAACAGTGGGCCGGCAAAGAGCTGTAAAAGTTTGTTTGTTTTAAAAAACAACAACTCTGCCATTAAAGATGAGTTCCTTCTCCAGCTCAGGACTGCGAATCTACCTTCCGGGTGTCCGCCGCCAGCTCCCGGAGTAGCAGGCCTGGGACCAGGATTTGAGAGTGACCTACCGCCCCTTCCCGGAGCTAAAACTTCGGGTGAGGGGGTGAGATCCTTGCGACATTGTGGGAAACCCTGAAAAGAGCTCAGGGAAACTGTACACTTTCAGACACGCTTTAGAAATAAAGTGCCAGGTTCCAAGTGGACTTTGGTCTGGTCTCCGCGTGTGCCAGTGTCCGGGCCATGGACCTTCCCCGGGAAGGGAGAGTTTGGGGAGAAGATAGGCTTTAGCACAACTAGCCTTAGTCAGTTCTTTGACTCCAGCAATTGTCGACGTTCCAGCAAGAATACGGGCGAGTAAGGCAAGGCACCGGGCAGTAGGAGAAGTGCGACACCAAGCTGGAATTTATTTTATTTTCTCCTGTCCCCACTAGTCCCCTTCTCCTGCCCCCAAAATGGGGGAGGGGAGAAGATGTTGATTTCTTAAACTTCCAGGGAGGAGGAGCGAGAAAACCCTAACTAAGGAGAGTACAAACAATGGCTGCTAAACTAATTAATGTAACTTCACAGGCTATCCTGAAAGTGTGGAAACTTTCTCCTTGCAGTTGCATTAATTAGAGATGCTCTGGCCAGAGGAGTTCAATTTTGCAGGCTCTTAAACGGGACTCCTTTTTTTCTGTTAACTAGAAATAGCAGATGTAGTTGACACATGTCCCCATTTCCCTTAACAACTTGGTAAATGATATTTAAGGTGGCTAGGTCCCGTTAGGTCTGTGCTAAAGCAAAAGTGAGGGTTCACCAAACATCCCTAGTGTCTGGCCACCAAGGCTCAAAAATAGGTACAAAGTTAGCTCATTCGACTCCCAACTCCTAAAGAAGGCTCCAGGGCCTGGTAAACCCTCAGACCAGGTGGGCCAGGTTATCAGGACGACAGGTGGAAGAGTTCTGCCCTGCAATTCCAAAGGGACCAGGAAAAAAGTTAGACAGCTGTTCTTATGTCTTTACGACTTTGGGGAACAATGCTGTTTTTAAATATCTCAAAATCAAACTCTTAAGCAGAGATCACATGTCTGCACACACAGGGTCTTAGGCACGTTCACCCTTGTCCCCCCAGAACGGAAATCCCGCACTATCCTTCCTACACACAGCCTCCGGAAACTTCCGTGATTCTAAGAATAGAAGCGCATAATTAATATTTTATGGCCTTGGCTCATGGTAACAACACCGAAATATCTTCCCCCTCCCCTCAGTTGGGACTTGAGGAAATCCAGACCCGAGGGCCTGCTTCCCCAGAGGGTCCGCACGCGACAGACAGCGCCGAATACTGACCTGTGTGAGTTCGTTTGTGTATTTTGAGATTTTCTGATCTAGCAAAGACCTTCCCACACCCCGGGAAAGGACAAGGGAAGGGCTTCTCGCCCGTGTGCACGCGGATGTGATTTACAAGTTTGTATTTGGCTTTGAAGGGCTTGCCCTGGCGCGGACACTCCTCCCAGAAGCAAATGTGGTTGGCCTGTTCCGGGCCGCCGACGTGCTCCACGGTGACGTGCGTGACCAGCTCGTGCATGGTGCTGAAAGTTTTGGAGCAGAGGCTCGGGGGCGCGGTGCCGTCGGCCGCCAGCCACTTGCAGATGAGCTCCTGTTTGATGGGCTGGCGCATGTAGCGGAAGAAAGCGCCAGGACCGTGGGGCGCAGCGAGGTTCACCGTCAGGTTCATGCCCCCGTAGCCATGCAGAGCTGCGGCAGCTGCCAGGGCGTCGCTGCGGGCCGCAGGCCCTGGCGGGAAGGGTTCTGGCCGCGCGTACATGTCTCCAGGGAGCCCCAGACGCAGGAGTCCATTCAAAGGATGGCTGGGGGAGGCCTGGGGAGGCTCCTCATGGAGGCCTGGGAACACCGAGGGGCTGGAGGCGGCGGCGAGCTGGGGGCCATGGTGTCCAGAGCTGCTACCTGTTGTCGAAACAAATAGCACGCATGAGAACCGGTGGGGTGGGCTGCGCGCTCTTCCCTGGGCCCCGGGGGGCAGGCCCAGCCCAGACGCACTACGGACTCTGCAGTCAGCCGTGGAACTCAGAGCCAGACCGCGCCAGCAGTGAACCCGGTGGACAGAGCAAGGCCAAACACCTCCGCCGCCGTTGGACCGGATTGCTGTTCGGCCAGGTCCCCTGCGGTGCCATGAGCTGGAGAGGGATGGTAGCCGCACAGTAGATGTAAGGGGTAATGGAAGGCGCAGGGCTGAGTCTGTGGGTTGCTGGGGGTTCTGCTCCAGAGGGGTAGGACCTGAACCCCAAGCGCACTTTGGCAGCCAACACCCCGGGGCGCTCCGGGGCACGGTGCCCTGCCGGGGAGTGGAGGTGATAGAAATGATGGTGTTGGAGGTGGTGGTGGTTCGGAAGCGCCCCAGCCATATATATTTTCAGTGCCCCGCTTGGCTAGGAGAGAGCGACCGGCTGCATGCCGGCCCAGGTTCCCCGGAGCTCCCTGTACCGGGCCACTAACACCACTGCCACCTGACAGTGGGGAGGGGAAAGGAAAACCACACAAAAAACTTCTGTAAAGTTTTTTCGTTCTTTCTTTCTTTCTTTCTCTCCTTCTTCTCAAGGTTTGGATTTGGGCGCGCCTACCCCCTTGGCTATTAATGCCTACGCGAAATCCTGCACACTACAGAAGTAGCAGCAGGGCGCGTTAGGAAGTCAATAGAGATTCAGGGCTGTGGCCGGGACCCACAGAGAGGAACAATTGCCTGGGTCGCCCATTGGCCAGCGGCCGGGTCCTACGTCAGTGATGACAGGTCCTGCCGCACGCGGACGGTCTCTCTCTCTCTCTCTCACTTCCTCGCTCCACCCCCAACCCCCTCACACACCTCTCCCTCAAACACACACCCTCCTTCCCTCCCTCACCCCACCCCCACAGCATCTCACGCTTCTACTGCTCATGCGCTCTGACCTGGGCACAAATCCTTTTCTCTCCCCTTGAGCCTCCTCCCCCTCCTCTCTGGAAAGCTGAGTGCATCAGTTTTGACTCAGGGCTCCTGGAAGTACTCGGGACTGGGTTATGCCACCCTTCACCACAACTTTGGGGAGGGAGCATTGCGCTGCGCCTAAAGTCCTCTCGGGACCTCAGTCGGGGCTGATGGCTAGCATAGTGTGCGCAGAGATGGCGGTCTGGTTGGGCAGTTTGTCCCTGTAGACTGCAAGAGGAGGGGGTCGGGATCGAAGGACCAAAGGAAACTGCTGACTCGGGGGCCAGGAGCTGAGAAACTCCTAGGCTAGCAGTCGTTGAGCCTAATTTTATTTTTTGGCTTTCTCCGAAATGTCTCGTTTCCCTCATCTTTCGGGTTCTTTTCGTCTCTCTTATTTTCCCCAAACCCTCTACCTCACTTCGTCTTCCTTGCTTCTCCCCTCCCCCTCTCTTTCCTCTATACTCTCTTCCCATTTAGCCTTGCAGGCCCCTCCTCCCCGGTGTTGGAGAGCTCAAAGACGCGCGATACCCAAGGATCTGGCCCTTACCAGGGACAGAATTAAGCGGGAAGTGGTGACGGCCTGGAAAGGCTGGGCTCGAACCCATGCCTTCCTGAAAGGACCCGCCCCGCCACAAGTCACACCCACCGGCGGGCCGGCTTTCCAAAGAAACAAAGGAGTCGGGCGTGCGTCCAGGAGAAACAGGTTTTCGCTCCAGAATCTCCCTGGGCCAATCAGGGATGCTGAGCGCTATACCCTGCAGTCGTAAGGAGCCTCTGGGAAAGGGGATTTAAGGGTGACTTCCACTTTCAGCTTCGGCTACTTGTTGCCTGCGGTCCAAGCTGCCTCTGCTTCCTCCTAGCTCGTCTTAGGCCTCTCTAGAGAGTGCACGCCGCGTTTCCCCGTTCAGGCTCTGAGAGAGCCTGCAGGCTGCCTCCCACAAGATGCCCTCCAGTGCTAGGGGGGCCACTTTGGTGCGACGGGGGTCGATCGGTTGAAAAAAACTTAAGTTCTGGCCCAGTCGAGTGTGGCAAAAGCCGAGAGGCGGGGGATTGGGGGGCTTTGGGGGCAGGAGGGTGTCCTTTGTCTGAGCGGACCGGCTAAGGTCAGCTGCGTCGTCCGGGGATTTAAAGGGCTGCTGGCCCGTACTCCTACCTTGTCGCTGCAGCCGAAAATGCCAGCCTAAGTGCTTGGACTTCCCTGGCGGCCATAAATAGTGCCCCCCAAACAGAGAAAGGCTTGTATTTTTAAGAAAAGTTTTAAAGATTGAGTAAAATATCCCATACCCCTTAGCAGAGGCTAGAAGTTCCGGCAGATTACCAGCAACGCTGAATAGAAATGGAATGAATTGCCCCTCCCCCTATCCCCAGCACCAAGGACTATTCTTTTACATTTCCTGGTCGGTAAATAAGGGTTAAAAAAAATTTTTTTTTTAAATAATTAACTGATGTATAACAGTTGCCAGATTCTTTGAGACCTTCATTTAATACATTGTTCCTCCCCTGGGTGCACTTTAGGGAGGGATTAACTTCCACAACAATTTCTCTCCACTTAGACACGTCCAAGTCTTTCTGCTCCTCCTACAGGAAGAGCTTGGATAACTCTACCAATAGATACTCTGTCAGTATTAAAAACAAAACAAAACAAAAAACAGAAGAGTATTTGACTGCCAGACCCCCACTCCCTACTCTCAAAACCAAGGGCTTCCACACGCAGTTTTGAGACCAGACTCTCAGAATATGCCTCCCTGGCTTTCACCTTCTCTCATGGTTTACTCCTCCACCAACAGCCACCAAGTCTCTGATCCTTCCCCTGTCTTCCCTTCATCCAAGCAGTGGTGTGGCCAGGTTTCCAGCGAAAGGTTTCCACATCTCAGTGAGTCATTTCACATCTCCCCACCTCACAGGTGTATGTTGAATGATGCAATTGTCTAGGCAACTCTGGACTGAACCCATGAGGGGCTCCAAAAAGCAAAACAAAAGCCAGAGTGTGTTCTTCTCTGAAACTCCTTGCCCAGTTGTTTTTACTATCCACATCTTAACACCGAATGTATTCAGCTTCTGTGGTATTTAGGTTTAAGTGCAGGGGCACTGCTGCAATCGTCTGGCAATTAAAATATATTTTCTTCCCTGGAACCTAGGTAATCTACAACTAACAATTCAGAATGTTTGTCAAACTCATTCACTTTAGCTTTAAGACTCTGATTTGCACAAACATGGATTTTTTTCTTTCTTTCTTTCTTTTTTTTAGAGAGAGTCTCGCTCTGTCACCCAGGCTGCAGTGCAATGGCATGATCTCGGCTCACTGTAACCTCTGCCTCCCAGGTTCAAGTGATTATTCCACCTCAGCCTCCCAAGTAGCTGGGATTACAGGCACCCAACATCATGCCCAGCTAATTTTTGTATTTTTAGTAGACACGGGGTTTCACTATGTTAGCCAGGCTGGTCTTGAACTCTTGACCTCAGGTGATCTGCCCGCTTCGGCCTCCCAAAGTGCTGGGATTACAGGTGTGAGCCACTGCACCCACCGGATTTCTTAATATATACACTGTGACCCCACCTCCATCAAAAGCTTTGAACAACAGTATGGACAGACAGGAGAAGAAGGGATTTTGGTTGTTTGAGGCTGTGGAACCCTTAGGAAGCTTGGTGAGTCTGTTGAACTCCTAATAGTCCAGTATTTGCTGCACATATTCATCATAGAAGAAAACACTAACTTTCTAATAGAAGGTTGTGAAAATAAAGATGCGTTTTTTTCTCATTCAAGTTTATGGGCCCTCTGGAGTTCTAACCACTGACTCTCTGGACTCCAGGGATAAGAAACAGAGGTTTTATACACATAGTCTGCTAGCATACTACACACTCTCTGTTAGTCACTTTGCCTTTGAAAAGCTTTGAACTTGTGTATGACTTTTTTGTGCCAGCAGCAAAAGGGCAAACATATCTGATTCAGCCAAAATCATGGAGAGTAGGCTGGCCCCATGGAGCTCCTTCCCAGATGCAGCTTTCTCTTGAAAGCTGAAAACATCTGGACCTATTTTGGGTAGCTGCTTCTTGCTTGAGTAGCCAGGGGTCAGTAGGCCTGCAGGTCACTGAGGTTGCCTGATCTTTGGAAGTTCCTTAGAGGCATATGGTCTATATCTTGGTTGGCTAAACCCAGCAACGGGACCAGACATTCTCCTAGAAGGGCATTTCCCCAGAGACAGCAATAAGGGAAAACCAATTGTACAACTAATATTTACAGACAAGGAACTTTGGGCAATTACATAAGGGTCTTCAAGGTCTATCTTTGAAATAAGCTCCAAAGCAGTATCCAGTTAAAGGTGATAGGGCATCAACATCTGAGAGGCAGAGTGTAGTCTTTAGAGAGATTATTTTGAGTCTTCCAGAGCCTGGGAAGCAGGGAACCCAGGCTACAGATATCATCAATTGAGCAGGCTAAGGAATGGTGTCTCCTCAGTGGTCTTCAGATTTTTTTTTTTTCCAGAAACATCTCACTATACATGTCCCCAACACCCAATGCTTGACTGACACATTCTATTCCTACCCATGCCTGAAGCTATAGCATTGTTAAGTCTACTTTTCTGTTTCATTTGTAGAGAAAAAGAATATCTCACAACCCACAGATCTTTAGCAGATGTCAAAATGAAGCACTGGGAGCTTGTTTTCATGGGGACCTATTTGGAGCGTATTCCATCACTAGACCCCAAATATCTCTCAGTCTTCAGAGCCTCTGTAAACCAGTGCCCAGAATCATGCCCTAAGCACTTTTGCTCACCCTACCCAGACAAATATAATGGCATAAACAAGTGATTTCCTAGTTCTACTTTCTAGAAATAGAACATTCGGTGGCCCTAGCATCTGCCAGAGCTCCTTAAATCGCTGGTTTGAATGTCTGATCTCACTCTCTTGCAAAGGAAAAAAAAAAAAGGAGGATATTTCAAATCAACAGCTCGGCTATTTTTCCATTTTAATGTTTTAAGCAATGCTAAATTAAATGATGATTATTAGTTGTAAGTTATGCCCAGATCAGCAGCTGGGCCCTACTCAGCTGAGGGCCACTGTATAGAACCTGGCTAGAAACAAGTCTTGTCATTTAAATGTTCTGCATCTGAATCAATTGTCACTTGTTCAGTTCTTTCTTCCCTGTTTCTGTCCAGTTGCAATCCTAAACAGAGGTAAATTTCTTTAAAGACTAGTCACAGACAGACTTCAAGATTCCTACAGAGGGAGGTTGTCTCTATTTTTATGCAAAGAAATAACTTAAGCCCCAGGAGCCCATCCATATTTCTAAGCCCAAATTGTGCAAAGGAGATGAGATCTATTAGGATTTTGGCAATAAAGGAGGATATTCTTCTCCTCTGCTATGGAAATTTGAGTTTTAAACATCATTAATGGAACTGAGTATGGAAGAAAATATGCTTGGATTGGCTTTAATTTCCAAGCAAGGATTCTACAAAGCATCCTGTGACAAAAGCTTAGGAAACATTGCTTTTGGATCTTCCAAAACAGCATTAAAGAATCGAAATAACTGAATTTACATAATAATTCATACCTCTCTCGAGACTTTTGCCATCAAATCATCCCCAAATAATATAGAGAGCCATTTCCTGAGTTGTCTATTTGACTTTGGTTAAGAAGGTTCCTTTGCCTACCAATGAGGGAACATCTTTGGAGGCAACCATCAGCTAGTGATATAGTTGAAATGAGGAAAACTAGACGCCTGGAAGGGAAAACACCCAACCCTAAATCATATGCTTATTCTAAATGGAATATTAAATTAAATTCTTCACAATGAAAGTATTCCTGACAGAGCAGCTGTCAGTCACTCCCTGGTCAGACACCACATTGTGGGAACCTCGTCGCTACCACATTGCACAAGGCTGGTATCCCTGGTAAAGATGATGTATATCATGTAAACCCCATCATCCAGATCAAAGTCTGCTTCTTTCATGGAAGCCAATACATGTCAAACCTCATTCCAATCAAATTGTCTGGAAATGAATTCAAGATGAATATGTCATAGAATAACGTGACAGTGGAATTGCAGAAGGTCAGGGGTGGTTGTTTCAATGAGAGAATCGTCAAATATTAATTCTGGAACGTCCAGATGAGTAGGCATTGAGGGGGATTAGCCGGCTGCTGGTGGGACGTTATGTCATTGATTTGTGTGCAAATGTATTGAACACCAAGGTGTTCTAAGTTTCATTTGAACTCAAGAAACTCGACCCAAACTCTCAACCCAACATAAACGAAAGACAAAACAAAACTTCCTACTTAAAAAGAAAAAAAAAGAAAAGAAAGAAGAAGAAAAGAAACTAGCAAACCAATATTCAAAGGAGGATTTTAACTTACTTGACTCTTTCAGAGTGTTTCGGTAAAGCCGTAATCGTTTCCTCATCACCAAGGATGTCTTGTATCTCATTTTCTGACTTTGAGCCTGTTTGGGAAGAAAAGAGTGACAGTCACTAGTTAAACAATTTTATACATCTGTGTGGCAACATTCTGTGGCTTGTATGTATGAACGAAAGAAGGTGTTGATCTGAAGATCCTTCGGTCTTTCTTTGATCATTTTCAAATTTTGAAGCTAAAGAAAAGGATTCTGCCGGGAACTGCCCATTTTCCAAAATAATGTATCTTTGGTGATAAAAACATTGAAAAATTATAATTTCCCAGCTAGGTTTTTATTTGAAACTCCTTTCTTGTTCTGCCTTGCAATCAGAAGTAAGCTCTCTTTTAGTCAGTGCTCAAAAATCTGTAGCTTCTCGAATTTGAATTAATTGTATAAGAAATCTTATTATTTTTCTGAAGTTTATTAACTGAAATTTAGTGAGGTGTGGTGGGGAGAGTCTACTGAACTCTGAGAGGTTAGCAGTTAAAATTTGATTTATAACTGTTGGAACCAAGAAGAGAGGAATTTCTTTGCAGGTTTTCAAATCCTGCTTTGCCTGTGGTGGTGCAGAATTCCTTAGCCTCACATTTCCCACACCCCAGACCCATTTGGGATTCATCACCGGTTGACTTTTTAAAGTTAATATAAAATTTGTCAGATTAAAAAGGTATAATTTTAATCATTTGGTTCAAATCATCCACGTTTCATATTTGAGAAGGGTAAAAATAACACCTCCCATAAGATGTACACATTACTTATCAGATTCACTTTGCAGTTAAAACTACCAAGCCATTGGCCGCCTTAAATACTTAAAGCCATCCTGAGGACCTCTGCATCCTGTCAGGCAAGGCTGAGGCAGCTGAGCAGCCAAACAGAACCATCTACCCGGCCCCCACCCTCAATTTGGCCTAGAAAGAAAAACAGTCATTGAAAAGGTCTCAGGCTGGACAAACACAGCAAGTCCTCTGTCAATGGGGATGTCTGCCCACAGAACAAGCAGTTGTTTAACTTGTTGAACCACAGGCCAAATCCAAGTGGGACTCTGTTATCTTAAAGGGTATCCAGTTCTCTGTGCACAAAGATCTCTCTCTCTCTCCCCCTCAACCTCCAACAAGAATTCCAACTAGCTTGGCAGCTTTTACCTTTCTATCTCCCCTCTTTTCTAGGTCCAGGCCTGGGAGGCAGGGGGGTAGACTCACCTTTTCCCAGAGGGTATTATTATTTTCAATTATTTCTAACCAAAAGGCATTCTTCCCCAAAGGTAATAAGCTCCTTCCAGTGCAAATCAGGAAAGAAAGGAGGCCTAACTTTGCATTCCTACAGAAGGGCGGCATGCTGGGCGTCCTCGCTCTGAAATTTCCTCATGGCAGGATGTCTGGCATGGAGAAGTCCTGGTTGGTTGGCAACAATAGAATTTACTCTTTTGCTTCTGGGGGAAATGGGTGTGAGGTTCCCTAGAGATCTCTGTCCACCCATAAGGCTGCTCCAACCCAACTTCTAAGAGGTATGGATCACTTCTGCTCCAGGTCTTGTCAGCCTTTTGTGCACTGCAGACCCATAGACACGCAAACAAATGTTGCAGAGGTCGGGCTAGGGCAGGCAACTGGGACCTTAGGAGTCTCTCTGTAGCATTTCCATCACCCAGCCTACACAGGGAACCAGGGTAAACATCTCCTTTCGTGCAAACTCTGACACCGCTTAGCAAACAAGGCAGTCATCTTGCTGAAGGAGAGGTGAGAAAATTTGGGAGCAATCCTGAGGCCCCTGGACCTGAGGTCTCAAACAACCACGGAATATAGAAACTCAGTTTCGTTTTCCCCAAAGGCTTGCTCCCCACGTCAACCACGGCCTCCTAATTACCAGTCCATAGCACATCCTGGAGACTTTTTGGAATCTGCCCTTCTGCCCCCACCTTGAGAAGAGGAACTGGTGCCTGGGAGCTCCAGTGATTGATAGTGCCGGAGGAGAGCCAAAAAGGTGGGACAGTGGGTAGGTGCAAAAAGCACCATTTTTATTTGGGGGAGCCTCGGAAGCTGCAAGTTGTGGGGCCGACCTAGCCGGCGCAGGACTACCCAAGGTCAGAGGTCAGCTGCAGTTAGAGACTTCAGTTCCCGAGCTGCGGCTTACTGATTAGCCGGCAGCGGGAAAGGCATGCCCACCTCTCAGCTGTAACTTGTCGCTGGCGGGCGCAGAGCAAAAACCCTGAAAGCTGGCTGGGAGCTCCGAGCCAGAGAGGAAACTGACCTCGGCCTTTGCCCACTGCTTGATTTCCCCATCTGCACCCCGCACCTTCCTGGCTTCCCTCCATTCGACCTTCAAGCGCCAGGAGTTTGCTGAGACTGGATTGTGCAGGGGCTTTTACTCATTCTCCTATTCTCTAGAGGGAGAAGCTTGGGTTTCCCAGCTCGGGGCTGAAGTAAGTGTGGGCAGCCTCCGGGTGCCCAGAATAGAGTTTGTATCAGTAGATCACCTGCAGGATCAGGCTTGGCATTTAGCCCTCCTTTTGAATCACCCCTCCCCCAACCTGCAGGCGGGTAAGATAGGAGAAAGAAGAGCGGGGTGCAGTGGTGTGGGTCGCTGCCAGGCCAATACTGTCGGAAAGCGGGGAAAACATAACCTTGGAATCCAAAGAGAGTTTCCTGAAGACGGTGACGGTCGAAGTGCAACCCTCCAAAGCCTCCCCGCTTTCCTAAGACTTTGCAATGGGCCATCCATCAGCCCCAACTTTCAGGTCCAACCTTTGAGCCAGTCCTAGCTTTCTTTCACAGCTCAGCTCTGTTTCCTCCTCACTTGCCCCTAATTTCCAATGTCCCTGGGCCTAGGCTAGGGGCCAGAATACTAGGAGCTGCGGCCTGCTCCCCAGAGAGCTAGTTGCTGCTCTTGTTCGCACTGGAGATAAAGAAAGCCAAGTCCCGAACCCACTGCTGGCCGCGCGCAGAGAGCAGATCCCAGCAGTCAGCTTCCTGAGGCAGGACCAGGATGAGGGAGGGCTAGGAGCCGCCCGGAGGTGACTCAGGCAGCATCTGCCGTCAGGTTGGGGCGGAGAAGTTCCGTCGTCTTGCTGCCATCTGGGCTAACTTGGCTCTTTGACCCTGGAGAGGGGAAGCAGAGACCCTCCTAGCCATCCCCTTGGGGGCAGAGCAGAGATACCGCCTGTAAAGCCCCCCTCCCGGCACCCGCCTTGTTCATTTTTCGCGAGGGAAGCTCTGGGCCACGACTTCCATTCTTGTGCCCACGGTGGGGCACCCAGGCAATTTACAAGGAGAGAAGGGAAGACAGGCAGGCAACAAACTGCTCCTGGTTCCTGTACCAGTGGGAGCCCCATTTGTCCCCCTTTTCACTCCTCCTGGGAAGAAGGGATGGACTCATCCTCGGTGCTGCCCCTTTGCAGAAGGGTCCCCCTCCTCCCCTCATTGTCAGTGGGGTGGGGCCTGTATCCACGGTTGTGGATGGGGGATGAAGGAGGAGATGGGGCAGAAAGACTGGCTGGGCCTCTTCCCCCACTGGGGTTTGGGTGCCAGTGGCCCGCTTGAGGGCACTTGCTACCCGGTCGCTGGAGGTACAGGTCTCATCTGTCTGCCCCCTGGACTCACGCACTTACCCCACTCCACCTGTTGCCAGGATCGCCTCATTTCTGCACATCATTTCGGGGTGGCTGAGAGGGGACCACAAACCCCTCCAAGCCTCTCTTTTGTGGTTCCAGCGAGGCGGTCATCCTTCATTTCTCCTTTTCCAGCTTTCGGGAAGCAGTTAGGGAATGTATGATGAAGCAGAAATGAGCCGTCAGGATGATATTTTAATGGCTTATATGTCACGTTGGTGCATGTGGCTTTGAACTGGAGCCGCTCGCGTTTCCTGCAGAGAGCGCCGCAAATCCCACTTGATAACTTCTACAACCCACAACTTTTTTTTTTTTTTTCTCACATTCACTCTTACCCCTGTGTATTTGGATGTGTTTCCTAAAAATATCCTCTTGTAAACGTCCCCGTTGGATTTTCCACAGACTGGAGAGGAGAAGACTGACTTTTCTTTTTTGAAGAATTATTTTCCCTCTCCCCCTCCCAACAGCTACCCTTCCCCCTTAGGTCCCCTCCCTTGTTGTGTGTGTGTGTGCGCGCGCGCGTGTGTTTCCTGAAAGGCGGACGAGGTGGGTTCAATATATGTTCTCCCTAGTGAGAGGAATACAGCCTCTAGAGAAAACTTCTTGCAGATGAGGTTTTCTCAACTCCAGGGGAAGTAGGATCCAACTTCCCCTTGTAGGTAGAAAGACTTAGTTGCTCCGATATATCTTTTTTTTTTTTTTTTTCTAACGAAGTGTATAATAATTTTTGAAAATGCCTCAGTCCTTTCCTTACCTCCACTCCTCATTCCATTCCACTCAAAGTTGGTGGGAAATGCTGGGCTGCTAGACTCAGACTTGTTGATGGGAACAGGACAATTTTTTTTTTCTCGAATTTCTATTTCCCAGCACAAGCACAAATGCTCAGTCAGGTCCCTTCAGGCACCGGGAAATCATCTCGGATACCCAAGCCGACTTTTGAGCAAGCACAGCCCATGGAAAGGGCAGTCCGGCCGGCCAGCCCCAAACGAGAATCTAGTCGGTGAGAAGACCAGAAAACCAGAAAGGCGAGGAGCGGCGGACGCTGACCCTGCCTTCCTCCAGCCGGTGCAGTCAGCGCTGGCGTCAGGGCAAAAAATATATTCATTTTCATTTTCCTCTCGCTGGGGCACTGGTGAGTTTCCTAACCGGGCCGCCTGTGAAAGGATGAGTTGAGGTTTCTTTGTCTGGAAAAAGAGTTTAGGGCTTTGATTCAGCTGCAAAGAAGCCAAATGAAGTTAGAAACAAAGGGTAAATTGAAGGATTCCGACTCTTGGCTTTTTGTGTTTTCCTTACTAGAAAATAATTAGACCTAATGAATATGCAGACGCTTCAGCTAAACCCTCGGCCAGGACTGTTGGGTTTTAAACAGAGCTGCGGAGAAATGCAACCTTCATCCCCACAACCCCCCGCATCCGCGTGCATTTTTTGAAATGCATAAATGTTGCTCGGCTTAATTGATTGAGTCACAGGGATTTTTTTTTTTCCTGCTTTTAAGTACCATACTCCCCTACCTTTCAACAATCATTTTAATATATAGTCAATGGCTCTTTGTGGAAGGGACAAAAAGAAACTACGCGCAGTTGTTGAATAGACTTTGCGCTAGGCAAAGACAGGTTAATCGAGGGCCGCATCGCGAAAACAAGCGAGTGTTGTATGTTTGCACTGAATCCAAATGTCTGCATTTTCCTAACTAAATCAAAGGGAGTGTTATTTCTTTTTCTGCTCACTCATCTGAAGGTAAGTAAATTTTCTCTGGCGATCAAAAGCCTGGTCGGCAACAAAGACCGCGCCCGCTTTTTCCACCGTCCTGGTGTGGCGAGTTGCGGAATTTCAATAACTGTGACAAGGGTGACTGATTTGTGAACTAGAAAAGGTTTGAATGTCACAAAATTTACATTGGTCCTATCTACTGGGGATTTAAATACCAAAAAAGTATTCGGGGATCTCTAGGGAGCTTTGGGCAGCCCAAGGGAACAATGGCGCATTGGGAAATTTACAGTTTTACCTGAATGAAAGGGGCCCAAGTTGGGAACAGGAGTGAGGAGAGACAGGGTTAGCGGGGGCAGTCGAAGGAGACAACGGAAAGGGAGAAAAGAGAAAAATAATGCAAGACAGGGAAAAAGTAAAGGAAACTGACAACAACATTTCAAATTTGCCATTAAAAAACTCAAACCTCAATAACCTGGGAACTTAAGCGTTCATCCACCTGTGTGTGTGAATGTGAGTGTGTGTGTGTGTTTTGGGAGGGGGTGCGGTGGTGCAGGAAGCCTGATTAGATAAAAGCGAGAAATACAGAGGCTACCGGTTACACTGAGAAATTACGTTTCTTGTAAAGAGAGCATAGTGCCCGTGTGCTCCCAAGATCTTAAATTATAAACAGGAGGGGGACCAAGCAAGAGGGAAACAAACTTCAAAAGGAGCAAATAACAAAAGCCTCTTTTGCTGCCCTTGAAGCGGGGGGGAAGGGGGAAGAAAGAAAAGAAAGTTGCTGAATCGGGACATTCTGGAAGTGCCTTTGCTGTGTTTACCAGCCCCATCCCCGCCTCCTGCACCCGGAGACGTCCGAAATCTCTAATCGCTCAGCGAAGAGTAGGTTTCGGGAAGGGCCGCGCGGGGGTGGTGGGGGCAAGGGAGAAGGAGGAATGTATATGACTGTGAGAAGGAAAAGAAATCGTGGCAAAAAAAAAAAGAAAAAGAAAAAGAAAAGAAAAGAAAAAAGAAAAAAAGAAAAGAAAAAAAAAATTCCGTGAAAAGAGGGAAAAAATTTGGCTAAAAAAAAGTTGCTACTCCTGGCAGCCCTGGTTTGTCAAAAGGGGATGTCAAGCGCTTTACAATACCTGGGATTGATGAGGCGGGCGGGCCAATGAGCTGCGCGCGGCGCCTCGGCGCGCCCTCCGTTGGCGCGGCAGCTGCGGGCGGGGGGAGTGCAAACGCACCAATGGGCGCCAGCGTCGGCAGCACGTGACACCTCCCCCTGCTCCCATTCATCAAGGGGGGGACGGTGTCGTCCTTTCAATTCATTTATCTGCAGGAATGATTGCTGCTATCAGTCTCGCGCTCACCGCCCGGCTGAGGAGGTGAAAGTTTCTCCCCAGGAAGATAAACCGCAAAAGACAATATTGTGCATGATTTGCGCCTTTTCTTTGGCTTTTTCTTTCTTTCTTCTCCCCCCACCCACTTTTTTTTTTTTTTTTTTTTTTTGCAAAAAGCAGAGAGGGAAAAAAGGAGAGTGAAGGAGCGAGGAGGCGAGCGTGAGAGAAAGGAGAGAGAGAGAAAAGAAAGAGCGAGGGGCTAGTGGAGAAGTGAGGAGGGGCGCGCGGCGCAAGGCGGAGAGAGAGCGAAGCTGTCGCGGCTCTGGCGCTCACATTCCTCTATGCTACAAATCCAGGAGGAAGTTTTTTTGGGGGGCTGAGATGCTCCATGCCTTTCCCCGGGCAGCCTTGACGCGCGGCCCTCCCGGCAGAGACTAAGCGGCGAGAAAGTGCGAGCCGGGCCGGCAGGGTCTGCCTGGCGGGCGCTGGAGCCTGTCTTACTCGCGGCCCGCAGCCGTCCGGCTACTTTGCGTTTGGCCGGGCCAACGCCCGGGAGCGCCGCGCCGTTGCCTGCAGGCTAGGACTTCGCGAGGTGGGTCGACTCCCCCTCCCTCCTCCTCTTCTTCCTCTTCTTCCTCCTCCTCCTCTTGTTCCTCCTCCTCCTCCTCCCGATTTTCCCTCCTCGGCTGGCGAGGGTGGGGGGGGCGGGGGAGGCCGGGGCTCGCCCCGAGCAGCCACGATGCTCCTGGACGCCGGCCCCCAGTACCCAGCGATCGGCGTGACCACCTTTGGCGCGTCCCGCCACCACTCCGCGGGCGACGTGGCCGAACGAGACGTGGGCCTGGGCATCAACCCGTTCGCCGACGGCATGGGCGCCTTCAAGCTCAACCCTAGTTCGCACGAGCTGGCTTCGGCCGGCCAGACAGCCTTCACGTCGCAGGCGCCAGGCTACGCGGCTGCTGCGGCCCTGGGCCATCACCATCACCCGGGCCACGTCGGCTCCTATTCCAGCGCAGCCTTCAACTCCACGCGGGACTTTCTGTTCCGCAACCGGGGTTTTGGCGACGCGGCGGCGGCAGCCAGCGCACAGCACAGCCTCTTTGCTGCATCGGCCGGGGGCTTCGGGGGCCCACACGGCCACACGGACGCCGCGGGCCACCTCCTCTTCCCCGGGCTTCACGAGCAGGCTGCCGGCCACGCGTCGCCTAACGTGGTCAACGGGCAGATGAGGCTCGGCTTCTCGGGGGACATGTACCCGCGACCGGAGCAGTACGGCCAGGTGACCAGCCCGCGTTCCGAGCACTATGCTGCGCCGCAGCTGCACGGCTACGGGCCCATGAACGTGAACATGGCCGCGCATCACGGCGCCGGCGCCTTCTTCCGCTACATGCGCCAACCCATCAAGCAAGAGCTCATCTGCAAGTGGATCGAGCCCGAGCAGCTGGCCAACCCCAAAAAGTCGTGCAACAAAACTTTTAGCACCATGCACGAGCTAGTCACGCACGTCACCGTGGAGCACGTAGGTGGCCCGGAGCAGAGTAATCACATCTGCTTCTGGGAGGAGTGTCCGCGCGAGGGCAAGCCCTTCAAAGCCAAATACAAACTGGTTAACCACATCCGCGTGCACACGGGGGAGAAGCCCTTTCCCTGCCCCTTCCCTGGCTGTGGCAAGGTCTTCGCGCGCTCCGAGAACTTAAAGATCCACAAAAGGACGCACACAGGTACGGAAACAGCTGCAGGACCCCTACCCATTCCCACTTGGGCCTGGGACCCAAACCGAAAGTCAGCGGCCAGGTCGCACAAACGCAGCCTCGGTGGGATCCCGGGCGTCAGGTTCCGGCAGGCAGGCAGGGAAATTGTGCGCTGATTTTTAGTTTGGGGCTTGAAATTACGGGAAAAAAAAAATCATATATATATATATATATATATAAAACCACACAGAGGGCGAACGAGAAGGATCTGGGGAGACAGATTTTTTAAATGAGAAACATAAAAGGTCGGAGAACAGGAAGCCAAACCTGGTTTGGCGGAGACCTTAGTGCTTTCGAAGCCGGGGAAAGTGGCTGGCTCCGGGCAGCCGCGGAGGCGCCAGCTGCTCAGGCTGCAGACAAATCTAAACGCTTGCTTGCTGCCAACATCTCTCTCCGTGCACTTCACTGAGGACTTTGCCAAAGGAAGGAGCTGAGGAAATTGAGGAGGCCGGATTAAGGGCGTAGAAAGAAACAAAATAGAGACAGAAAGAATTGAGACAGAGTGGGGAAAAGAAATAATTTGGGGTTACGGAGACTTTTGGAGATTTATGCACATTTGAAGAGTTCAGTTTTAGTAGTGACTGGTTTTAAGAGTGGGCTTGAGGGATGGAGAAAGTCCGAGGAAGGCAAGGAAGACCTTTTTGTCCGTTAGACTCCGTGAGGGTGGTTTTCAAAACACCGGATTCGCCGTTTTGGCCTTTAAAAATGATTAAGACACAGGTCCGGAACAGTTGAAAAAAAAAAAAAAGTTCCCGCGAGCTCAGGGTTGTAGCCTGGCATCAGGCAAAACATTCTGGGCCCCCTGCCCCCAGGAGGCCAGGAATTGGGTCTGCTTTCCTATTCTGATTTTCCCGGGTGAGGTCTGAGAACCGTGCTTGGGACTTCGGGTTTAACGCCCGAGTCAGGGAAGAATTTGCGGCGTTGAGTTCTCTACCGCCCAGATTACGCTATAAAATGCGAGTGTATGTAGGGAGTGGGGTGGGTTGGAGGAGGCGACGAGGGGATGCGGAGCGTCGGGGAGGGGGCAGGGGGAGGAGAGAAAAGCAATAGGGCAGGAGAATAAGCCGCAAACGTGAAAACTAGAAATCGGGAGCCAGGTGGAAGCAATTCGAAATCGTGTATATAACTCTGAGTAATACGAGTTTCCAGACCTGATGCTAAAAACTGACTCTTCCTCCTCCTATTTTTTTTTAAACCTAAAAATAAAATGTAGATCTAATTGTATTAGGGATTAAAATAGAGTTAAAATATTTATAATTCAACTGCAGATATAAGAATTTATTGACGTTCCGGGTTTTTAAACTTGCAAAAAGCGCTAATCCTGGGCTGCTGGCTTTTTTTTTTTTTTTTTTTTAATTTTTTTACATTTGTTTAGTTTTTGAAAAACGGCCGCGGGATTTTTTTCTAATTAGACCCCTTTCATTCTACTTTCGCACCAGGGGAGAAGCCCTTCAAGTGCGAGTTTGAGGGCTGTGACCGGCGCTTCGCTAACAGCAGCGACCGCAAGAAGCACATGCACGTGCACACGAGCGACAAGCCCTATCTTTGCAAGATGTGCGACAAGTCCTACACGCATCCCAGTTCGCTGCGCAAACACATGAAGGTAATCGCCGCGCTCTCGTCGTCCCCTTTGAGGCAGGAGCTCTCTTGGCTCTCGGCTTGGGGTCGAGCGGCGAGTGGCAGCCAGGCAGTGGCGGGAGCCAGAGGAAGCGGGAAGGCAAAGGTTCCACTCAGTGGAGCTGGGCAGAGAGGGTAGGGCGGGACCTGGAAAAGGGGATGGGAGTGCCCAAGGCCGTTTTAAATTCTTGGTTTCATAATAAAAGTTAAAAGAGGCGAGTATGAGCAAAGGCCGCCACTGAATTTGGCCCGGAGCTAGGGCTTTTGCTGGGGGTTGACGCTGCCGAAACTGCGGCCCTTGCTGCTGGCCGGTGAGACTCAAGAGTTGGACTCCTGCGCCCAGGCCTGAGCTCCGGCTCACCTAAACACGGGCAAGCAAAGTTCAGGGAAAGAAAGTGCAGTCTCTAGCCTCAAATCCACGCTCCCCCTTCCGAGACCTATTTTTCTTTTGTGAGTCTTGGGGACGCTGACTTTCCCGGGAGCACGGTGTCTGCAGGCCTGTGAAAGGGCACCAAGCCCAAGGTCCCGCTGATCGGGCCTCGCCTGTGTTCAGGGGGCTCCAAGAGGTCCAGGAGGAAGGGCACTCGCGGCAGTCGCCACTCTAGGCGGCCGCCACACTGGCTCTTTATGTCCGTAAAAACGCGACTTTATTCCTGCAGGTCCACGAATCCTCCTCGCAGGGCTCGCAGCCTTCGCCGGCCGCCAGCTCCGGCTACGAATCCTCCACGCCTCCCACCATCGTGTCTCCCTCCACAGACAACCCGACCACCAGCTCCTTATCTCCCTCCTCCTCCGCAGTCCACCACACAGCCGGCCACAGCGCGCTCTCTTCCAATTTTAACGAATGGTACGTTTAAAATAAGAAACAAAACACCGAACAAAACCCTATTTAAGAGACTGATCACACACGTATACACAACATTACTGAAAGAACCCTGCGAATCAAAACAACCCCCCACACAGACCCCGCAATCCTTTTTAAAAAATCTGCCAATAGACCCAGGACGAGTAACAGAGGAAGTATCAACCTTTAAAAATTTCCTTTCGCTTTCATTATTTTTCCTTTTTTGGCGAAGGCTTGGTACCCAAGGTGCGGTAGGGGGTCTAGGGGGAGGAGGCCACCTGACCAAATGCCGCCAACCCCGAGGGCCAGTTTCTTGTCGGATCCGTACGGGCTCTCTGGGGCTTCGGCTTTTTTTTCTTTGTTTTCTTGTAAATACAGAATTATTAGCTTAAAACTGTACTGTTGAATTCTGTAAATAGTTATATCGCGGTTGGAGTGGGTGGGTGGGATTGTGGCGTTGTGGTCTTTGCATTGGGGGAGGGGGGAGGGGCCGGGCGGGTGGGGGGAGGGGGAGGGGTGGGCGGCCGAAAGCCAACTGTTTGTACTGAATGGCAAGAATGTTCTAGTAAATGTGTACCAAAATGTGAATTACTTTGTACAATTACAGTCTCCACGTCGACCTAACCGAATATTGTTGGTATTAATGTGCTTTTTTTGTATAAAGTGCAAACATTTCGTCCAAAAGTCTAAGTACTTTAGTGCAGTAAAATGTTGTTTCACGTCCTGTCAAGAATTCGTATAGTACGAGCCTGGATCTGCGTGTCAAACTGTTCCATTTGTTTATGTAAAGTGATATTAAAAAAGATATAAACTATAACTGTCCGTTACTTTTGGCAAAAGATACAACCACATAATGTATATAATTCCTAGTTTCCATATTTATCCGCATGTAAAGGGCCGGTTTATCCATGTTACAGCTCTTCAATATTTATGGTTAGAAGAACTCGTATGTACACTTTAGTTTCCAGAACTGTTTGGTAACCTTTCGTACCTTATTAAAGATTCTTAAATCTCAGTGATTGTGGTAGGAATTTCTTCTTCACCCACCAGCAACCTGCTGCCTCTTCTGCCAGTCTTAAAGGGTCTCCAGAAAAGCTCTGCAGTCTCCCTTGCCTTCCCTTTCTGTCACTGCAGGTCGTATAAACGTGATAAATGAATGCTACCCTGCTGGCTCTGCGAGAGAGTGTAATTAGTATTTATATCAAAATTTATGAAACAAATTTTCGGTCGCGGTATAATTTAAATGACCTTTGCAGATGTAGAATAACAACCATAAAAATAACAGAAATAGATTGCACAGGCGACATCAATATTAATGTAGACGAATTGTCAGAAGCTCAGGGGCTCGCTCTGCAACATTGCAAATGAACTTGCAGCCGAGGGTTCCGCTGCCCCGTAGATTAAATTCCCCTGGCTGAAACCTAGTTGCAGATTTACAATATCATATTTTAAATTGCTGTCTTCAATTAAACCGTTTATGACCATAACTAATTTTCAGGATGTCGATGCATGCTTTTCCAGGCCTTCCTTCTTTGTACAAAAGTAAATGTCCATAAAGCGTTTCACTTATATTCTTCAAACATGATGCTAATTTAAATTAATTACTTCCTATGATATGTTATTGTTCCTATGATTTTGCCAGTGTTATTAGTTCTCTCAAAAATATATCTAGGGAAGAGGATTATTTTAAGTAATTTGATTATCTTTCTATCTCTTTTATTTATTTCTCATTTACTTAAGAAATTCGTTCCATTGGTTGGCGTTGATACAGTAAATTTGTAAATGAGGAGACAATATAAAAAATCTAAATTACTTGTGCTTAATGACTGTGGCAGAACGCCTTTTCTCTAAATCAGATTGTCTTTCTTGCAGTTTAGTTTGATAGATTTGCAAGCTATGCTGCTTCCATGAAGTTAGCTGCGCTGGTAGGAACGCAGGCTTCTTTGTCTCTGGTTGTAGCTTGCATGATCGCCCCATTAGGCAGACAACGTAGCCGGAGATCACAAATCAGGCCCTTGGCTGTAGCTGCTAGGGTGTGGAGGTGCAGAGCAGGCGGCAGAAACTGACCTCACTGGGCAAGGAGGGCCGTGGACCTGATTCTTTAATATACTGTATGTGTTCAGGAAGCCATAGACCATATTTGACTCTGAGAAAGAAAACAAGAGGAAAAACCCCACAAAGTACAAATAACCCCTTAGGATACATCTATTTTAAAGTGAAATTAATTTTTCAGATTAAACCATTGGCCAATTACAAGATAAAAATGTTCAATTCTCTTTAAGGATCCTTTGTTGACTTGTCTTTTCATCTCTTACTATTTATATTTGTCACTGTTAGTCAACAAAGTCTTATTTGCTGAGTAAGGACTTTGCTGCACATCAAACACTGGGGAGGGTGGTGTTTAACTTTTTAAAAATGTTATTCTGATTATAACAATAATATTGGCTTTTTCATGAAAAGAGCGCCACCTTGCAAAGTTTAGTGAGATTTATGGAAGTTGAATACCTAAGCAGGAACTGCTGCTAGCTCCAAAAATTTGTGAAGCAAAAGCTAGCCCCAGTTGGTTTGGAAGTTTGAAATTGATTAACAGAGTTGCATTTGAAGTGACTCCAGACATTAAGTATAATAGTTAAAAACGGAAAGAGGAATAAAGAAATCTCTTCTCTCTAGAAAAGATAACACTGCAATTAATAATCCTTCTCACTTTCATTGAGATCAGGTTGTCTGATAACCTGATATGAGTGTGATAATGACAAACATGGTAATAATGGTACTTTTGTAATTTCGCTGGTTTTTAAAAGAAAATAGTAAATGATGAGTTCGTCTTTTCTTTGAACATTCCTATTCCTAAATGTAGTTTACCTCAAATTTGGAATTATAAGTGTCTAATTTTTGTTATGTATCTGATGCCCCTTTTGCTTTAATATCATAGTGTAATAATTAAACATCACACTATGACATATGATTTAAGTAGGATATTTTAACGATACATTTTAGGGGTAAGTGTGTACCTCAAAATGACTTCATATTTCAAATATCTATTTAGACTTTGAAGGCCAAATAATTTTTAAGAAAACATTTGAAGAGTAGTGTGTTAGCATTTGTGAATAATCTCACTCACAGCAAATAAATGTAACAGAAGCCAACATTTAAGGCAACCCTCCTGTGCATTCTCTTTTCCAACACCTATCACAAAGAAAAAGTCATTAATGATGTAGGTGGCCTAAAATAATGCTTCGAACTTAAATGTAGTCTATTATTTTGCTGGCACCTTTAATATTTGCTTCTTGAGATGTATTCTTCATACTTTTTTTCATGGACTATTAGGTTTTGAAATACACAAATGTGAATAGCAAAATATATTCTTAGACTCTGTTTAGCAGGAGCTGAAGACGCTGCAAATGGCCTGTTTCCTGTTTCTAGATTCTGACTTAGGCAGAATGCTTTCCTGGTTCGTTTTGTAATTGCATTGTATTCTGAATACTATCAAATGATTAGAACAGCTAACAAGTTATTAAAAAGTTATGTTGTGTCAACAGAAAATGCCTGAGTACAAGCAATCATATTTGAGAAATGAAGAGAAATGAGTTGTGGTATGTGTGTATGTGCATTTATAGAGCAAGCATATAAATATACAAGCACCATTTATGTGGGGGCTAAGTAATTTTCAAACATTTCAGATCCTTTGTTTTCTTCTTCAAAAGCTACCCCCAACTGCTTTAAGCGTTTGCAGCTGATGATTTTGATTTTTTAAAGTCAAGCATTCAAGTTAACCTTTAAAAAGCAAACCACCTCCAAAAGAAAGATGTAACCTTTCAATTGCCCCATCTGCTTATCTTTTTTTTTTTTTTTTCTGACAATGAAAGTAGCACTAACCTTCTTTGCTGATGGGCCTGGCATTTAGATGCTTTTATTGTGAAGTTTTCTCAGAACTTTTAAAGGGCTGGCCAGAGAATTATACCCTCAAGTACCTCACCTAGCCCCAAAACCTTCCAGAAGTTTTCTTTTTGAGGCCAACATTAAATCAGTGTCTGGGACCCCTTGTGAGTCAGTGCTGTTGGAGTTGTTACCTGAGCATACTGCTGTTCAGGAAGTGAGTTGGAGAAGGCCCTAGACCTTAAAGAGAGGATTTAGTTTAAGATGTTATGAGGAGTTACTCTATGTGGTCTGGTACGCTCAAAATAAAGGCACTTGTGCCCTTGGCTGTGGACTAGATATAAAGACATCAGCTCTTACACATTCCTAACTTCCATTTCTTTTCTTTTTCCAACTTAAAATACTGATTACAAATTTATCTCCTCCTCTCTCAGTACAGAGTTCTGTCTTCCTTGTAGCATCAAATGTAGTTAGTTCTTAGAATTATGTGTTCATATTTGAGGGGGGAAAGTGTTTTCATAAAGATAGTCACAGTTGATATCAACTGTTTTAGAATTATTGAAAATAGTGTGGCAATGGAAGGATTGATCTTGTCTGTGCCGTCAAGCCGCTAAAGGTACAAGTTACCCATGAGATTCTCTCTTTCAGCTTTTTAACCACCCTGTCCATCCTCTGTAATATGTACCATTTAAACTAGTTAAATATAGAAAGTAGGGTTATTATGGGTAAGCATACAGCAATTTTTAAAAAACTGATAACCACTATTTTGGGCCAAGAAATACAAAAAATGTTAACTTCTTATGTCACAGTCAATCCTTTTCCTCAAAGTTTATTGCAAATATAATGGCGTAATAGGTGCAAATTATGAATAATGTTCTCCTTAAATCTATGCAAGGCTGGTTTGCTCCAGAGTCTCTTCCTTAGCAAGAGGAAACACATCAGGCCAAACCAGAGGCTATTTTTACTGTGGAAGCTGGGATCTGTCATCAGTTCCTAAAGTTGATATCCATTTTAGAGTGAAGAACTAAAACAGTATGAAGTTTCCAATTGATGTTATATACTAAAGGTGAGTTTTTAAAAAACCGGACTTAGCTATCTAGAGTGGAAATATCATTTGGCAGTGAAGATGCCACAGACTGACAGTGTGTCAACTGTTCACAATACTTTGGTTGCCTCTGATGGTTGTGAGACATCTCTGTAAGCATGTGCAGGAAAATTCACGTGTTGTGAAAGTTACACAGTGACATTTTCACCTACCGTACACACAAGAATCAACTATTGAACATGGGTATAAACATATTGGAATCAATCTTTAAAAACAACAATAGCAAGCAAACCCAAGCCGTCCGACCTTAGCAAACTTTAAAAACTTGTTATTTTACATCTTTCTTTTCTGTATCAATGTCCATTAAGTTACAGAAAGCGGGAACGTAAACGGCGAGAGAAACTCGCATCGCGATTCCTTTCTAAACATGTTCCGTTCATCCGGGAAAATCTAGCCTCTGACTAAGAAAACTGAAAGTTGTGGAGAAAGGACAGGGGTGAGATGAAGTGCGAAAAGGGAAATTTTTGCATTGGTGGATTTATTGAAAGCATGGAAACAGTCTTCGGGGGTAGGTGTAGGGGGTGCAACAGCGAGACTTCCCCACAATACCTCCACGGAAAGCTGGGTCGTCAGCATTTGAGGGACCCTCCAGCCACCCGCAGCCCGGCGGGGCGCTTTCCAAATCGTCGCGGCAGGCTCTGGCCGGGCAGGGCGAGATGTGCGCATGCGCGGCCTGCGGCCCGCGGTTCCACGTGCTGATGAATATGCATGAGACTCCCCCGCCCTCGCGGGCTGGAGAGAGAACCACGCAGAGGCTCCGGCCTGTGAAAGTCTCTGGCTAGGCTCCCAAAATAGTGCGGCAGGGTAGCTGCACGTGTTTGTTTTCAAACCGCGCTGGTTTAAGTGAGTTCACAATGCCGAGCCGACAGCAGAGGCTAGAGCAACCTGGGGCTGCTGCCATTGGAATGGCGACTTGAGCGGGCCTGTCAGGGCCTCTCCTTCGCTGAGGGCCGGGGGCTGCGGCCTGCTGGAGCCCCAGCCGGCCACACCGCAGTGCTTCGGGTGGCTGGGCTTCCGGTTCACACCGGGCCTAT